GAGATGAGTCTATTTTGCCCAGGCTAGTCTCAAACTCCTTGACTCAAGTGACCCCCAATTCCCCTCGCCTCCCAAATAGCTGGGATTAGAGGCATGTACCACTGTACCCAGTTAAAAGGTTTATATATTTTTAAATTTCAAAACACTCAAGACTTTTCCAAAAAGGCTATAGTGCTTTAAAGCACTACTTTCCCATAATTCTGGCTAGCATTAGATGTGATAAGTATGTTTAATTTTATGCTCTAAGCATAAGACAGTGGTTCTCAAATGTCCCCTAGAGATTTGACAATGTCTTGAAACATTTTTCATTGTCACAACTGCTGGCATGAGAGCAGGGCTGGGGAGAGCAGGGAAGGTACTATAAAAATCTAGTGAATAGTAACCAGGGGCACTGCTAACATCCTGCAATGCACAAACAGCCCCAAATATCAACAGTGTCATGGTTAAGAAATGCTGGTATAAAGTAACATTCTAATATTACTTTCATTCGCACTTTCTTCACTGCTAATGAATTTGAAAATCTTTTCACGTTTATTGGCCATTGGCTTTCTTACTCTGAAGACTACTTATTCATATACTTGGCTATTTTTTTCTGTTAGGCTGGTTGTCAATGGTGTAGTATAGATATTTCCATCTTCATTACCATTCTTCCTTCAAGTATGTTGTTTGCTCATCAATAAACCCCTTGTCCTCTTGTATCTATCTCAGTGGCTGCTTTCTGGAAGACCAAATTCATAGGCTTCATGTGTATAAGATAAAAAAGTTGGTAGTTAATACCCACTGAGGAGAGTTTTGAATACTTTTGCCAGTATTTGGGAAGCAATAAATCTGGTTATCCAGGTTCCAGCCACCAGATCCAAGAGCTCTGTGGCATGTCTTTGTCAGCATCATGCAACTTCAACAGACATGGTCCTATGAATGAATCCCTACACCTCCAACAAGTAGGCACTGACAAAGCAAAAGCAGAAATGTCTACCTCCACAAATGATTAAAAGAATCTGTGAAAGCCAAGTGCTTGGGGCCAAGGGGATCTTTTAGTCAGAAAGAGAAGAAGATACAGCAACTCTTCTCTTTTCTCCCCTACTCTTGCTTCATTTTTCTTTCCTGCTTTTTCCCCTCTGCTTACCTATTATTTTCCTTCTTTAGTGTGACTATGGCTATGGTTCTCTTTAAAAAGTATACTGTACAAAGCATTTGTAGGAAACTCTTAAGTAAGTTCAGAATATTATATAGCTAGTTTAAGCTACCTAGGATCAATAAGAAATAAGTATATTTTAAAACTGATGTGGGAAGGTGAAAGCAACTAAGAAAAACACATATAAAGTAATAATAGATGAATTTAAAACTTTCCATTTGTTGATAGCCTTAATCATCTTCTAAACACTCTGAATTTTAAGTTAAACAGGCTGGGCATGGTGGCTCACACCTGTAATCCCAGCACTCTGGGAGGCTGAGGCTGGCAAATCGCCTGAGCTCACAGGTTCAAGACCAGCAGAGCAAGACCCTTTCTCTAAAAATAGCCAGGTGTGGTGGCGGGTGCCTATAGTCCCAGGTACTTGGGAAGCTGAGGCAAGAGAATCAGTGAGACTCAGTCTCAAAAAAAAAAAAAAAAAAGAAAGAAAAGAAAAATTGGCCTTGAAACACATTTCAAAGATGCATATGTTTCAGGACTGTGAACTAAACTGACACAGAAACACCCACAGCAGAAGAAAACTAGGAGTCCTTTAAGTAGCTGTGGGCTCTGCGAGGCAACCATCAGGATGATTGCTGGAAAATCTGTATGAGATAACCTGAGCAATCTTAATCTTCCTACTCCACTGGAGAGAAGCTAAAGCCAGACTGAAGTAGAGCTGTGCCACTTAGAAGAAGTGAGGGATCCCTTACACTTAAAAGACAAGTAACAGGCGTATTTTGCCTCTGTCTTTCAAGAGCCCACACAATTAAAAATTATTAATACTAAATGGAAATCGGTATGTAAAAGGGAAGCACCTAATTCAAAGAGAAAACTAGTATCTGAGAAAGCAGGGTAAGCCAAGCAAACAGAAAATTTACTATCAGAGAAATGACAGGTTATCTTGCAATCAAAAAAAAAAAGGCTGTTTTTAAAGAGACTAGAAATCTTAAAAATGAAAGAGGATTATTATAATTAACTCAATGAACAGGCTGTATATTAGAACAGCACATCTGAGGAGTAAACAGCAAAGTATAACAAGTAGAAGGTGGAGCCAAGGAAACCTACCAGAATGTCATGAAAATAGAGGACAGAGAGGTGGGAAGTTTGGAGAAAAAGTTAAATGACATGGAGTATAAATCCAGAAGTTCCAACATTTGCCTATCTTAAGTTCTACAAGGAAAGGCATAGGAGAGTCTAAGGAAATCATTAAAAAATTCCTGGAGTTGAAAGAAAAATGATACACATTTTTTAACACAGTATGGGAAAATTTCACAACAAAAATCCCCAAGATGTTTAGGAAGAAAAAACAGATCAACTTTAAAACCAAAAAAAACCAATCTGGTGCCAGACTACCACTAACATTTGGTACTAAATGCCAATTTAAGTAACAATTTCAAAGTTCTAAAGAGAGTACTTCAAGTCTTATATCTAGTATAAAATCTTATACCTAGCCAAACTAGCACTCAAGACTGCACACAATAAGAATGGAAACATAGGACTAACTTTACCACCACAAATAAATTCCAAAGCGGGGAAATGACCAATCAAAAAAACCCCAAAAAGGTAGAAAGGAGTACAAATGAAGAAACAAAAAAGCAGAGTAAATATAGCAACAATCACTGAACATGTCAATAACAATGAATGTGAATAGGTTAGAGCCCCATCTTCAAAGACAGATCATCAACCTGAATTGTAAAATAACTGCAGACTGCCTGTAGAGCACAATGTGAAATAAAAAACAGAGGTAAAAAAAAGGTAAGTTATAGAAGGCAAATATTAACAAAAAGAAGATAGTCTGAGACAAAACACCATTCAAAAGCATCAGATGAAGCACAGATACCATCTGGCAAAAAAGACACAATAATTACAAACCTTTATGTGTTGAAAAAAGCTTTAAAATAAACTCACTTACTGTTCATATTAAATAAAAATAAAAGAAAAACATTAGTTTAACTCCTTGTATTAAGTTTTCAATGTTTCTAAGTTGTTGAAAATCTACCTAATATACTAAGTATACCCTAAAATAGTAAGGACTCTTTATGTAGAAAATAATGTGGCACATTAAAATGCTTATGAAATGTATTTAGTACTTTAAAGATTTACAAATTAAATAAAAAGAACGCTTTCTGAGCAGAGTAAATAATTGTTTCATTAGCAAAAACAAGCAATAAAATCTTTCCCATCTACCAGTCTATCAGGAGGCTAAGAGTAAATCATACACAAGAATACAAATAGAGGCACTAAAACTGCCTAAAATTGACAAATTAAAAGAACAGAATCTAAGAATCTAGAGAGAGAGGTATGCAAGGCTTCATCTTTTTAGAAAAACAGATACTTCTTATTCTTATTTACCAAAATCTAAACAACCTAAAGCCAACCATTCAAATCTTTCAAAGCTATTTACCTCGAATTAGTCAGGTTTTTAACAATTTCCTTCTAAAAATTGTTAAAAATTCTTAAACTCCAAAGGTTAAAGTCCAAGCTAAATTTCCTATTGTACTGAAAAAAAATGATTCCCTCAATGACACTGAGACAGAAAAGAATCACATTGCATAGGTAATTAACCAAACTGCAAATTTTCTTCCACTGCTTTTCCAGTGGCACTCCAGAAAGTAACCAAACCACATTTGTGGACAGCACAATCTTGGTAAACATTCCCTATCACCTTCTGCTCATCCCCATTTCCTTCCGTCCAATTGCTTACCCTTCATCAATAAAAATGCAGAGAAAGGATGGCAATACAACAGAAAAGTTACTTATTTTTGCCTGACAGAATTTAAGAAAAAAAAAAAAGCTTGTTAGTACAATGCTGGTTTCATCAATCAACACCAGCTTTCTGCTCTGCCAGGAACTAAATCCTATTTTCACAACACCAGAACCAAAAATCAGACAGAAATTAAAATAAATGTACTACAAGAAAAGGTCTAACCAGGGTTGTCCAACCTGCAAGCCACAGGTTTTTTTTTGCTTATCTGCTGTGTTGGATATCACAAAAAGTATGCAAAGACCTTTTTTTTTTTTTGGCAAATCAAAAAATGAAATGTGTGGCCCAAAACAACTCTTATTATTCTTCTAATGTGTGGCAAAAAAGGAAAGACAGGTTAGACATCCCTGGAAATTATAAAATATACAACCACCAATCACAGAAGGGATTTTAATTCTATGCCACAGAAATCCTTTGCACTGCTTTTAAGTCACCTTTCCTTCTGTTTACTTCTCAAACTATGCTAAAAACTTTCAGAATTAAAAGGTAAAGACAGAAAATAAGCCCAAAGACAATTTTGAAAGTATGTATTTACAAACGAGAAATGAAGACATAGAGATCTAAAACACAACAGGAATATCCTGAACCACTAGTATATTTTCATGTGTCTATTTGCCTGTCCAAAAGCTACTTCAGTGGTTTAAAAGACTATAAAGACACCAATTAATGTCACTGGGAAAACTTCTCAAGGTTCCATAATATTTTACAATAAAATTCTATAAGAATGGATCTTTCCCTTTCATTTCATACAAAAAATTAGTTTCTAATTGATCTGAAAGCTCCTTTTAACAAGTTAGCTGGATCAGGTCATTCTATCTCTATTCCCTCCAAAA